GCCTTATATCTTCACGACGTCGTAGGACCTCCTCAGGGTGAATAAAGTAGCCCTGACGGAAGCAGACGACCCACCTAGACCACCTGGACCATCTGGACCGCCTGGACCACTATAATTTTAAGTATGATATATCTTAAGTTTGAATTGCATTTGTATTGTATTTTTTTTTTCTTAGGTTAAGGATTTCTTATTGTATGTATTTTGATTTATCAATAAATTTTCTTTTAGCACCGTTAGGTCTTTCAGAGGAGGGGGGATGTCTCCGGAGGCGTGTCAAGCAGAAGCTGACCACCGTGCCGGACGCATTTAGAAATTCGGAGAAATACTTGGAAATTCCAAGTGTGGGCAAATCCGAATTTCTAATTGACTCGATGTAGGGAAATTCCACTTTTACTACGTAAAACAAAGGATTTGTTTTATATAAAAGCAGACGGAATTTCTCTCATCAGTCAGTCGAGCTTGCCTCTTCTTCTGTAGACCTAGTCGGTGCTATTATTGTTCCGACTAAGCTATTGTTTTATTTCTTATTTCCTGATAACCATTTATATTTTATTATTGTATATTCAGACCTTTTCAGGTTAGAATATTACTTTGACTTATATTTGTTCATATACTGATTATTTGATATTTTATTTGATTATTTTGATTGTTTATTTTTCTTGTATTTTGTATCTAAGTTGTTCTTCCGTAAGTTAAGAACACTTAGAAATATTTATCTTACTTTTTTCTATTTTATAAATTTGATTTTGTACTTTGTGTCTAAGTAGTTCTTTCCGGTAAGTCAAAGAACTCTTAGAAATATTTCTCTGATATTTGACTTGTTAATTTTATTGTGTGCCTAAGTCATTCTTTTCCGGTAAGTCAAAAGAACACTTAGAAATATTTTCATAATCATTATTGCATTATTATTTCCGATATTTATCTAAGATATTTTCTTAATATATTTGTCTCTTTTATTTTACCATTTTATGCTGAGTTGTTTCTTCCGTAAGTCAAGAAACACTTAGCAATATTTCCATATCTTTTCTGTATTTGATTTTCTTATTTTCTATTATAAGTTGTTTCTTCCGTAAGTCAAGAAACACTTACAAATATTTGTATTCTTTTTTTTTTGCTATATTTGATTCTCTTGTTTGTTTTCTGTTCTAAGAAACACTTAGAAAAATTTCCATACATTGTTTCAAATTTACATATTTCATTTATCGATATTTCTGTCTTAAGTTGTTTCTTCCGTAAGTCAAGAAACACTTAGGAATATTTCTGCACTTTTCTGTTCTTTTATTCTTGTGTATTTTACTTTTCATTCTAAGTTGTCTCTTCCGTAAGTCAAGAAACAATTAGAAATATTTTCTGTGCATTGTATTTTTATATACCATTTTATTTCCTTGTTTACTAAGTTATTTCTTTCGTAAGTCAAAGAATACTTAGATTATTTTACCTGTTCTGTTTTCTATTTTGATCTGCTATTTTGTAACTGTTCCTTGGAACTGTTACCTATAACAGATACTTGTCACGGTAACTGTTATTTTATACCAGTAGCAGTATTAACACGTTTTACCAGCGACAAGCAAATATGCTCAACACCCGATCAAATTCCGGGGACAGGAAGAAGTCCGAAGAGCCGGCGATGGGTCCTACAGGCCCAAATGCCCCCTCTCGGCAACACTTAAGGCACTTATAAATAATAAACCAATTTAAAAACCTTTTGATGACAATAAACCTATATTAATTCAAATAGATTCCTCTAGTAAAGGTATTGGTAGTGTGTTATTGCAAGATATGCATCCTGTAAGTTTTGCTTCTCGTTCAATGAATAGTTCTGAAATTCGATACGCTCAAATTGAGAAAGAACTTTTGGGCATAGTATTTGCGTGTGAGAAATTTCATTTCTGGATATATGGTCGTGAAATACTTGTTCACACAGACCATAAGCCATTAATTTCAATTTTTAAAAAGAATCTTGATTATGTATCTGCTCGTTTACAAAGAATGTTGTTAAAATTGTTAAAATATAACATTAAAGTTGAATATTTACCGGGGTCAAAAATGTATGTTGCAGATACTTTAAGCAGATCTTTTATAAAAACCGAAACTCCAATTGACAAAGAATTAGAATATACTGTTCATGCTCTTTCTCTGTCAGTACCAATGACAAAAGAAAAAAAGAATAGTTTTCAAAAGCCCATAGAAAATGATCCGGTTTTGACTCAAGTGAAAAAGTTTTGTTTATCAAACTGGCCTAAAAATCCTCATAAACTTGAACCTGATGTAAAATATTACTATAACCTTAAAGAACATATTCATTTGTCAGATAATTTGCTTTTCTTTGATAAAAAAATTATTCCTGCTCAACTGAGAAAAGAAATGCTGTGTCTAATACATGCTGCACATTTTGGTATACAAAAATCAAAACTAAGGGCTAGGGAAATAATGTACTGGCCAAAAATGTCAAAAGACATTGAATTTTATATTGAAAACTATGAACCATGTCAGTTGAACAAACCTTTAAATCAAAAAGAAACGCTGATTAATTACAAGCAACCTGAAAGGCCATGGTAGTTTTTATTCTCAGATTTTTTAGATTTTAAGTCAAAAAGTTATCTTTTAGTTGTTGATTTGTACTCTCACTGGATATAGTTATTTCCTGTGAATGACAAAACTGCTAATACGGTTATAAGGTGTTGCAAAGAAACTTTTTCAAAATTTGGTATCCCATATATATATTTTGCAGATAATGTTCCTTTTAATAGTTTTTGTATGAAACAATTTGCTCGGGAATGGAATTTTGAATTAGAGTTCTCAAGTCCTGATCACCACCAATCAAACGGTTTTGCAGAAAAATATGTTCAGATATGTAAAAATATGCTAAAAAAAATTAGTAACGTAAACGAGCTGCAAAACTGTTTGATGGAATACAGAAATACGCCTCTTACAGGTATAGGTTTCGCTCCCTCTCAATTATTGTTGAACCGTATTGTCAAAACAAAACTGCCGATTTCTTCTAAAAATTTAAAATCTAATATTGTTGATCCACAAGTAGTTTCAGAAAAATTAAAAGCAAATTCACAAAAAATGAAAGATCACAATGATAAAACAGCTAAAAACTTACCTACTCATCAGAAAGGCGATAATGTGTTATTCCGGAAGAATAATTCATGGGAAAAAGGTAAAGTAGTTGATAGGTATAATGAGAGGTCATATTTGTTAGTTGATACAAAAGGCCAACAATTCAGAAGAAATCGAAAGTTATGAAATAAAACCAACCTGCCAGTTACAGTTTCTGAGTCTTATTTTTCAAATTTATTATATGATGATGCTCCTAGTTCTAGTTTGATGTGCCATGTTGAAAATAACGAGACTGTAAATATGTCATCTGAGATGGAATCTGCTGATGAATTAGAAAACACAGTCATAGAAACACAAAATACCTCAACTGAAACAGCACAGAATGAGGACTCCAAAGATAATGCTAATTGCTGTGACAATCCTGTTGGTAATAATGAGGAACAGCCGTCCATCTCAGGTAACATACATCAGGTAACTGAGAGTAACATAGAGCTGGTGTTTGAGAGTGACTCAGAAACTGATAAAAATAGTGAAATAAACGAATACCCTTCCGACAGACGTAAAACTAAAAAACCAAATTATCTTAAGGACTTTTTCTTGTATTAATGTTTTTGTTAAAAAAAAAGAAAAAAAAAAGAAAAAGCGTGTTGTATATTTAAGAATTAAGTTTTATGTTTAGAGTAGAATCTTTGTATTTTAGACATTACTGTTTGTGTTAGTCTGTATGCAGCTTAAGATCATGAACTTTAGTGTGTAGACAGCTTAAGCTGACAGCTGACAGAGAACAATGATGGCCGCTAGTTAGAGCCCGTAATGTAGTTATATGTTAAAAAAAAAGAAAATAAAGTTCTCCAGAATAGTTATTTTTATAATATCCATCACCAACAAAATAAAACAGTATGTATGTATGTAAACTTGTAAATTAAGTGTAAAGTCATGTAGTGTTAAATGTATATTAAAAGTAGATATTTTTTAAACAGTGTGTGTCAAAGTTTTTGTTATAGTTTAGGTCAAGCAAGTGAATTGAATGGAGACTTAAGAAGCAACCGTGATAAAAAATTCGAATGTACAGTTTATCAAAAACAGTTATCTTGTTTAAGTTCCTTAAAGTGCCATTTGGAGATTCATGAGGGTGTAGAATATAGATGAGGTATTTGGGAAAAAGCTTATTCGACTAAGAAGAGTTTAAAGGTGCACATCAACCAGCATAGTGATTAGAACAAATTTAAATGCGACATTTGCTTTAAAGGGTTTTTAAAAAACTACGAACTCAAGAACAGATATTATATAGGCGCATGTTCTTTTTAATGTTAAGTGGTAGTAACATCAAATACATCTTTATTGGACGAAGTATATATTTATATAAACTTGTAAATTGAATCTAAAGTCATGTAGTGTTAAATGTATATTAAATGTAGATATTTTTAAACAGTATGTGTCAAAGTTTTTGTTATATTTTAAGTCAAGCAAGTGAATTGAATAGAGAAGCAACAGTGATAAAAAATTCGAATGTACAATTTGTCAAAAACAGTTATCTTGTTTAAGTTCCTTAAAGTGCCATTTGGAGATTCATGAAGGTGTAGAATATAGATGTGGTATTTGCGAAAAAGCTTATTCGACTAAGGGCCGGTTTCACCAACAACAAATATATCGCTGAATAGTTAATCGTCGAATAAAATTTATGAGTAGGATAAATTTTATTCCGTTTCAATAACTATTTGTAATCCACAGTTAGTTATTCGTCGAATAAGTTCAAAGTGTAATGATTTTCCACAGACTGTAGGTACTCGTTGACACCTCTCTTGGCCTCCACCTCTTAGGTGTTTGGCCACGCACATCTCACTATTTTTCACTGTAGTCATATTAATAACCTATAATATTTGATATTGGTTGATTATCTGTTTGTTATGGTTGTGAATTTGAAAATTGTAAAAATGGAAAAAAAACGTGAGAGGAGTAAAAATTATTTAGAGGAAGAAAAGGAGAACTTAATCTCAATAATCGAAAAATATAAACACATAATAGAAAATAAGAAAACGGACAGTGTTTGGTCGAAACAAAAGAATGCCACATGGGAAAAGATAGCGACGGAGTACAACAGTATTAGCAAAACTGGGATTCGGAATATAAAACAGTTGAAACTGTTGTACGAGGCACTCCACAAAAGAGTTAAAAAACTCAAAGCTGATGATAAGGTAGGTAGCATAAAATTATAGATATGTTTAGAATGCATTTTAAACAATATTTTTTATAATGAAGTTGTTAAACCTTGCAATTTTTACAGGTTCAGACATACATAACAGGAGGTGGTATGAAGGTACCAGTGATGACACCTCAAGATGACAGGATTGTTGCTATCATGGGACCCCAAATAATCCCTATAGAGACTATGTATGATAGCAATAATATGCATATGCCTGAGGATGTTTATCAAGGTAAAATGTAATATTATTTGAGATTAACATAAAATAGTCAAGGTTGCATATCATCTGACTACTTAAACACTATACATGCCACAATTATGTTCACATTGTGTCTGCAACTGGACGGGATTATGCAGAAACGATCCAACCTACACTTTATTAAAACAGATATTAGCCAAAAACTTTACGATAAAATTCTCTATTCAAAATAATCATGATTTAACATTAGAATAGTTAATATATTATGCATTACATTTGATTTAACACATACTGTTTGATTCAAGAAAACATGCATTAGGTGTTTTGCATAATGGAACCAACTCACATGGATCTGTTCTGCCGAACGCTGACATTCTGCAACGACAATGTTGGCTGGTTTTTCACTCATAGAGGATGGTATATATCTTATGTGGCTTGGTTCTTTTTTGCACAAGCATCTACGAGGTATTTTACAACCTATGAGACTGTTAATAGAAAAAAATCATATTTTTGGCTCAATTCCTTTCTGCAGAATCCCGTCCAAGTACAAACAGTTTTTAATAACATAATTGCATTGATCCTTATTTTGCTTGTAGGTGATATGAGCCATTATGAAGGTGATGATGCTATGAATGACATACCACTTCAATCACCTCCTGCTATGGATATCCCCAGTACGTCCAGCAGTATTCTGCCAAGAATCGTAATACAAGGTAATAATGTAATTTTAAATACTATAATGATTACTTAACGATTACCACACACACATACACACGCGAAGCGTTCAACCCAACCCCTACTGACATGTGTATACCACTGCTAGTCGGTGGGATCCACATGTCCGAAGATCAAACCGGTCTCGCTCCAGAAGAGCTAATCATTCTGGATCGGTACCTATCTGACCCCCAGGTTTTTCCTCCACCCCTTCACTACGTCTGACATACGCAGCGAAGGCTTATGAACTTTACGTCGGGCTATTTGGGTAATGAACAAAACCCTCCGTATCGACATGGTTGTGGTTAGGTCACCTGAAATTAAGGGGTAGCTATGAGCTTTTCTCCCTAGTTACTTTACTGAATTTAATTTGGCATGAGCATTACTTTGGACCTGATGTCCCTAAAAAATGTGTGCCCCTGCACGGAGAGGCACCAACCTAAGTTGGTGGTCTCCCAATTAGACTTTGCCTTAAGGGCCTTAGCCAAAAAGGTGGCTGTACGAAGAGAGCAGACGGCTCTCTTTGTACTTTTAGCGTATGTATGTGAATGTGTGACAGGGGTCAGCATCACACGTAACTATTTGTACCCGGGTTATGAATCTAATATTCATTGTCAAAATTGCGCTCGCGAGGTTAGAAGGTGTTTTTCCCGATTTTTGTTAAAACTAATACTAAAACTTAAAACTAGATAATTTTTTTGGTGATCAAATTGTGGTGTCTGGAACTCTAAAATGCCAGACCCCAGTCCTTACCCTTTTTTCTTTTTTTTACTTCTACCCCGCGTTGTTTTTGACTAGTCTGTGCCTATCTCAGTCTGTGTGTTTTTATTTATGCTATTGGGACATATCCAGCTATTTGATGTTTAGGCCGTCTGTGTGTCCTCCTAGTATTTGCATCGTAATCCGTCAGCTCTCTCATCTGTCTACTGGGGTGGTTTCTTATTTCGTTATAGATGTCATATGCTTTTTTGTACATTGTGTGTAGGATTTTTTCCTGCTTCGTATCTCTGTATGGATACCTTAGAGGCACGTATCTAGGTACATTCAGTGCGTCTCTGATTAGCTGATTTTGCGCTACTTGTATTTTCTTCCTATTTGACTTGCAGGTATGCCCCCAAGCTGCTGATGCATATGAAAGCGTTGGTAGGATTATCCTGTTCGCTACCCTTATTTTTTTCCAGAAGTTTAGCTTACTTTTCCTGCCTATTAGCGAAGTAAGTTGTGCCTTTGTCAACTTAGCTTTGTGTACTACTTGATTTACGTGTTCAGTGAATGTGAGCTTGTGATCAAGGGTCACTCCTAGGTATTTAGCTTGATTGCTCCATTCTATATCTTCGTTAGCTAGCCTTAATTCCATATCGGGTAGCTGTCTTCTTTTTCTGAACATGACGGCCTGTGTTTTCTCCGGGTTTAGTGCTATTTTCCACTTTATACACCAAGCATGCAGTCGTGTTAGCGATCGTTGTAAGTCTCTAGTTGCAAAATTTACATTTCTGTTGCTTGTTGCTAGCGCTGTATCATCTGCATACAGGCTGAGCAGTGTTTTGTGGTCGCTGGGCGTGTCTGCTGTGTATATGGTATACAAGTATGGAGATAACACCGCTCCCTGCGGCACACCTGCCTCCAGAGTTCCGACTTCGGACAGGGCAGGCCCTATTCGAACCCTGAATCTTCGGTTTGCCAGGTATGATGCAAGAAGGCATGTCATTGACTCACTGTATCCATATTGGTTCATTTTGTATAGTAGGCCTTCATGCCATACTCTGTCGAATGCCTTACTAACGTCTAAGAAAGCTGCAGCAGTGTACATTTTTTCGTTATATCCTTTGGTGATAAATTCTGTAGGCCTGAGTATTTGTAATTCATATGAATGTCTTGATCTGAATCCGAATTGAGCTTCTGGAATCGCTCGGATTGCTTCAGATTCTGTTTGTAGTCGTTTTAATATTATTCTTTCTGCAAGTTTACTTAGACACGATAGTAGGCTTATCGGTCGGTAGTTTTGTGGAAAGCTCCCATCTTTTCCCGGTTTTTCAATCATGATTACTTCTGCCTCTTTCCACCTGTCTGGAAAGTATCTTAGTCGTAGTATCCATTGATTATGTTTGTAATGTACACTATGATCTTATTTGGTACATTTTTAATTGCCCTATTTGTGATTTTATTAGGCCCAGCTGCTTTCTTTGGGTTTAGTGCTTTTATTAGTTCTTTAACTTCTTCCGGACTTGTATGTTCTGGGCCAATTATGTCTTTTCTTCTTCTTTAGCGTCTGGCGCTTCTTTCTACTGCCTTCGTGAAGTCTAGATCTTCTGCAGGGTGAAAATTTTGTGTATTATGCGATTCGAGTGTTTCTCTCATTACTTCGACTTTTCTTGTTCGGTATATACTATACCGTCTAGTCCGTGTAGGGGCGCTATTGGTTTTTTATCTTTTCTGAGAATTTTTGATACTTTCCAGAATGTGGATTGATTTGGATTTAGTTCTTGGATATAATTGTCCCAGCATTCGCTTCTGTGCTCGTTTAGTCTTCTTTTAACCTCAGTCTAGATCGTTAGCAATTCTTTTATCTTCCTGGTTTCTTGTTCTTTGTGCTCTTCTTCTTTTCCTGTTCTTTTCTTTAATGAGGTCTTTTAGCTCATTTGATATTTCCTCGAATCTGCCTTTTGGCATTGTTTTTGTTTCCGTTTTTGTGCTGGCATCGATTGCATTTAGTATTGTTTGTTCTAGCTTTGTTATACTTTCTTCGAGTTCATCTATATTGTTGATTGTTGGGATTGCACCGATGTTTTCGCTTACAACTCTTCGGAAGTTTGGCCAGTTTGTTTTCTTTGTTTGGTGGGGCTGCAGTGGATTTAATTCCACTGCGCCTAGGGTCATGACGATTACGTTGTGTGTAGAATCGCCTTCGTTCATTGTTTTTATCTCGTATTGTTGCCCTATGTTATGCAGAATTGCTATATCGATGTGTGAGGGAAGTTCTCTATGAAAACATGTTGGGTCTGTGGGACCCGCTACAATGGTGTTATTTTTGTTTTCGAGATAGGCACAGAGTCGTCTGCCGTTTGCATTTGTTCGACGGTCGAACCAGTTGGGCGATCTAGCGTTCAGATCGCCGATAATTACAGTCGGTTCGTCGGAATCTAATATTAGATCAAGGTCTTCTCTAAATATCGGTTCATTAGGCCTAACGTACGCCGAAACTATTTTCAGCGTCTCGTTAGGCATAATGATTCGTACTATCGTAGCTTCCATGGTGACCAGGCCAAGTGGTGTGGGCACTAGATGGTGGTCTATTTGCCCTCTTACCATAATGGCCGTGCCACCTGAGCGCGTTCTGTGATCATCTCTATAGATGACATAGCCTGGAATTTTTGTTTTAATTCTTTCGACTAATTTAGTCTCTTGCAAGGCCATGACATCTATAGCGAGTCTGTGGGTAAACTCGTCGAGAATATTAAGTTTCGAACGAATCCCGCCCGAATTCCACGATCCGATTTTTAGCTCGTCCAACTTGTGCTTGCATTACTCCATTCTACACTTGCTCGTCGCCTCGAATGCTTGGGAAAAATTTGTTGAACATACCCTGGAAATGATCAGTAATTTCCTTGAGTTTTTCATTCATTATGTTCACGATGTCTTCGGTTGTGGCATTCTTGCTGGTTACAGGGGCAGTTTTTGGTGTTTCGGCTGCTTTTGTTGCTTGGGCGTAGCTTACGTTTGGTCGTGTAGTGGGTGCACTTGGTGCACCATGGAAAGCTACGATAGTACGAATCATTATGCCTAACGAGCCGCTAAAAATAGTTTCGGCGTACGTTTGGCCTAATGAACCGATATTTAGAGAAGACCTTGATCTAATATTAGATTCCCGCGAACCGACTGTAATTATCGGCGATCTGAACGCTAGATCGCCCAACTGGTTCGACCGTCGAACAAATGCAAACGGCAGACGACTGGTGCATCCTTGTACTTTGGCTGTACTGCTGTTTTTGTTTTTCGTTTTGGTGCTTTGGAGCACCCCCTATAACTTGCCGTATGTGCCCCGTCGCAGTTGGTACATTTGGCTGGTGTTTCCCTGTCTTTAGGGCATTCCGATGATTTGTGGTAGTCTCCACACTTAACGCAACGCGAAGCGCAATGGCAGGCGCTGGATCCATGATAGAAATCCTGGCAGTTGAAGCACTGAACTACATCGCGTTGTTTTTTGATTTCATCTTCGATTTTAACTCGAAGATAACAGAGGTTGCTGATTTGACGTGCCTTTTCTGTGAATTCTTCAGGAACCGTTATCTTGTATAGTGGCAGTACCACTTTTTTTCCTTCCCTTATACCGGTTACGACATCAATTTTTATGACGTCTACACCTTTGTCTTCTGTTTCTCTTACGATTGTTCGTAAGTCGACGTTGGCTTGTAGTCCTCTGATCACAAGCCTTTTTGTTTTGGCATCAATAGGGTAGGATATGAAGTTTATAGCCGGTCGGTGATTTTCTAGTATGTGTACCATCGCTAGATACCCCTCTCTGTTTTTTGTCTGTATGACTACAGACCTTCCTGATTTTGCGAACTTATTGTCCGACACGATGGCTTTCTCTGCGGCTTTTCGCAGGATGTTTTGGCTTTCGCCCACTGATTTTAAAATGATCGCTGGTGGTTTTGGCTCTTTTGTGGATTTTTCAGTGGGGCCACTGGTTCGTCGTTGGTTTTTGGTTCCGCTTTCTCTTTGTGTACTTTTTTGGCTTGACGCGATCTGATCGCATCATCCATTATTTTCTCTTGTCTCTTCTCGACAATTTCTCTATGTTTCTGGGCTACGCTCACAGTTTCTGTGGGCGTGGCTTCTGCGTCGATTTTAGCAGTGGCCTTTCTTTTTTGTTTCGTAGTTTTTACTTCCTGTCAAGATTCCTCGCATGTCTCCTGCATTTGCTTAGCAAAATAAGGTTTGTCGACCTTATCAGATTGCTTCGCAATTTTTTCGGGTTGTATAACCCTATTTTCCTGCCATTCCGTGACTTCTTCGCGTGTGCGTTTTGTGGGGACTTTCTTCTCCTCCTTTTCTGTTAATTGCACTATTTGCGCAATTAACTTTTTGTTTTCTTCACGCAGCTCTCTGAGCTGCTCCATGAAAGCCTCAACCTGTCGGCTGTGACTTTTTTGCATCTCGTCCATTTTTTGAACGAGAATCTGTAGCATGGTATTCTCTTCGGCGTCGTCCTTTTGCTTCTTCGTGGTTTCAGTCTCAGGGCTTAGTCCTGGACTGGAGCATGGTCTTTTTCGCTTTTCCTTTTCCGTTTCTTCGGCGCGATGAGCAGTGTAGATGGTGTTATTTGAAAATTGATTTTTCGCGTTAGCTACGGTGGCTATTGCATCATTTTTTTGGGGCGGGGCTATGACCGATTCGGTGGCCGGGCTCAGCTCTTCGTCGGCGGAAATTTCCATAGTGATTAAGACGCTGTCGTCTGTATTAACTTCACTTTTTACTTCGTCTTCCTCATCCGGGATGAACGATTCATCATCGGAATTATCTGCGATTAACGCGGCTTCGGGTTTTAAATTGTTTGTTAATTCATTATACAGTTTAATTGCAGATGCAACTGACGGGGTGGGTGATACGGAATTGTCACCGTCTTCTTCTTCTTGTGATGTTACCTGCGTGACATCACTTTTTTGGGGGGAGGGATCACTCATATTGCCGTAAGGCAGTGAAGTGTTCAAAAGACTAAAAATGGGGTTTACTACTCGGAAGACTCTGTTTTTGTCTTTCCGCCTAGCCGCTGCCAGACGGTTTTCCTGGGTGTCGTCCCAGCAACCACTCAGTAGTTCTCTCCGTGATTTCTCAGGGAGGGATCCTCTTCTCGTTTCTAACAGCTCAGAGGCAGGGGCCGTTTCTGTCCGACCTAGATTTCAAAACTAGGCCTTACAGTGTTATACCTGTCGACCCACTGAGGTGATCCCGTATTTTTCGCTGACACGAAGCTATTAAAAGCCTCCGCGAGGAGCCTATAAGGGCAACCCCTCGACGGTTTAACTTAAAAATAGCCCCGCATCCGCTTTTCGGTTTATATGCTGACAAAAGCCTGTGCAAAACTCGGTGTCTTACTCACCGGGAGCTGAAAAGCTCCGTTGCGTTCAGGTCGATTGCCCCCACCAAAGCACGCTTCGCTGCTCGTCGCTACGCTCTTCGCTGCACGTCTGCACTGTTCGACTGCTGGAGTCGAACGATTACTTACAAACATAAATATTACTTGCAACAATCTTGGCATAAATATCAGTATCAGAAAAACCAAGTATATGGTCTTCAGTAAAAACATGACAACCAGCACATATTAGTATAAACATCATTCAAATTGAAAAAGTATCAAGTTACAAATACTTGGTAACTTTAATAAACAAATGAAATAAAAAAATATATCGAAATTACATTATAACACGTGCTCGAAACATATGAGAAGCATTTATTAGGCCTATTGGGAAATTTAATAAACACACATTTTAAATAATTTTATTATCTATTTTCAAACCATTTATATATTAATATTTCAAATATATAAATGGTTGTATTTGTGAATGCATTTAAAAAATATATTTTTTTATGCAATATAAGCATCCATATGCTTTTACAAATGATAAAAATTCATGTTTTTTTACAGATGCAAAAGATTCATCACAGGGAGGTGAATCAGTAACGTTAAAAACACCAAAAAGGAAGAGGAAATGTGCTGAATGTGAGGAAATGGGGGACAAGAAGAAGGAAGTGTTGGAAAGAAAATTAAAAATATTAGATATTTTAAGGCGTAAGGAATTAGTAGAATTAGAGTTAAGACAAGTAGAATTAGTAGTGAAAAAAGCAGAAGCAGAATAAAAAAAATAGACATAAGAGAAATCAATAAATAATACTTTATACCTTAACAATGTGTTTTATTTACAATATGATATTCTTTATACAGGCTAAACCCTATGCATAAGTATTAGTATAAATTGTATCAAATACCACACAATTATTTACAAAAATCAAAAACATATCGTCGGTGATTCTGCAAAACCGCGTATAAGAATTTTTTTCAAGAAATTAGTTTTTTGCTCTGTCAGAAACTCCGTTAAAAAATACATATTTTAACGTAATAAAAATATCAAGAAACCCAATTTTATATTAGAACTGGCAACAATTCATAACCTCCTATCAGCCTTCGACGTGAAAAAACGTGTATGAGCGTTCGTTTGACAGTACGCTTATCTCTTCGTTTGTTTTTAAATATTTCTGGAAATAGTTGCACAAGTGTCTTGAAAAAGGTAAGTTAGTATAACATAGGATTGTATTGTACTGAATTTAAATGTATATTTCTGTTTTAATAAGGCGTAACTATAAAAAGCTAGTTTAAAATGTTTACGTCTAAGTGTATACCTACATTGGAACCGTATTTCTCCCGATCCGATATCTGGCGACGTCGGCCGACGTCGGATTGAAAACAAACTCAAGGTATTAAATCATAGTGCCTATACTGCTTCCGACGTCGGCCGACGTCGCCCGATATCGGATCGGGAGAAATACGGTTCCAATGTAGGTGTACACTAATACGTGGTTTTTTCGAACGAGGTTACGAACGAGATACGAGGTTTTAACTAACACTTGATTTGGTGATTTTAACATTTTAAAAAAGAAATACTTTATAATTCTAGCAATAAACGTGCTATTTTCTAATCAAAATTCACTAAAGGAAAAAGATAAATCTCACAAAATTGTTTTCTTACTATTTAGTTCGGTACTATCCGTTATGTTATGTGATTCCCCGCCCAAATTTCGATCTGCTACTCTCACAAAAAAATATCCTTTTGCATTTTCAAATGTTCCAATTTACGTACATATTACAAATATATTTTTTTTTCAGTTTGACAATGGCTGAAATCTCGGCCAGGAGTAATAAAATTATGCAGATGGCTACAAGCATTATAACAACTGGAACTGATGTGTTTTTCGAGGAATCTAACAATGAAAGACAAATGACTTTAGAGAATGTAAACCCCACAAATCAGACAAATATGCTAGTAGATTCTTCCGACGTTAACATTGATGAACTTCAACAAGTTATATTTGATATAGAGCCCGCACTAGTCTTAAATAATACAGAACGATGTGAAGTTCTGGACCCCCTGGAATTTGTTCCAACAGAAATTATACAAGGAGAAACTAGTTCCGAAAATGAGTTAGATGCTATGGTAAATCAAATTAAAATCCACAAGGAAAAAATTCCTGTAGCTGGCTGTATACCACGTATCATAAAAAAGAGGTTAGTCTTTGTAAATGGGTATATTTATTTAAAAAACCCTTAAAAGGGCTACATCAATAAAACAAACGTTTTCGGACCACACAGTCCATCAGTCCTTCATCACAGATTGAAGTGGATAGCGCACATAGCCTCATAGAGCGTCGTTTAAAGAACAAAGATATATATGTTCCTTTCGATTATATTCGGATTTGCAGAGAAGCTCGCCCTGCCAAGCCCTTTGTTGTGAAGTATTTTCATTATAGTGATTTTCGCAATTTCACAAAATTGAAGTATTACAGCAGTATCAGACCAGGATATAAAGTTGGTGATCCTACTGTATCAGACATTCGATGTCTGAAGTATGATATCAGTGGCCAAATTAAGTACAAATTAAACTTCTCCGACGAATGGCAATATTTTACAAAAAGGCCCAATCTGGAGCAGATGCACAGCATAACACCTAATTACACTGAAAGATTAAAAATACAGCAACAGAAATTTAACCATTTACAAAGTTTAAAAATAGCAATGGATTCCGAATTCTGGGAATATTATGATAATATACCCCATTAGTGTTTCAGTTTTGTTACTTTTTTATTACATAAAAATATGTCTCCCTTTAGTAGAGACATGTATATTTGGTTAATAAACTTATTTTGCTAAATTTATTATTATTTCAGGTGAGCAAAAGCTCGTATCAGAACTTTATTGACACTTTCGCGACATGCAAAACCTAGTATGAGACCAAAGGAAGATATTTTACAAAAATCTCTTAAATACCTTATAAAATTTTGTCAGAAATTACCTTTATTACTAATTAGTATCAATATATAAGTCCTTTAAAAAAATAATGCTGTGTTAAACCATTTTTTACCTCTCCTGTAAAGTTTACTTAAAGTCTCATACGAGTTTTTGCGGAATCACCGACGATATACGTAACACTTATTTATTTAAACAGTAAATTAAACAAATTTTGTTTTTTATTTTTTTAACAAAAAACATTTATTTATTTATTAACGGGAGGATCCTTTTTGCATTTAAATTTTAAATATAAATATAAACATCCTAAACTAACTAAAAAATACCACACAATTATTTACAACAAATTTACAAAAATCTGAAACTTAAAAACATACATGATACTATAAATAACAAGATAGGATCTTCCCGTAGCTCAAAATCGGTCGGGTTCGCGCATGCCGTCATTGGAGACTAGAATTTGAATTCTTGTTAAAGTTAAATGAGATTTGTATGCATTCTGTGATGAAATTACTAGACGAAAATAAGTTAAGAGGTTTAATAATTACAATAAACGTACACATAAGGATATCTTCAAACTATTTATTAAAGATTATTTATTGATATATACAAAAACTGACATTTCGAACGTGCAAGTCTCCTATGACGTCACAAAAACATGCGCAATATCTTATCTTATAGTCATAGTATCATGAAAACGTACATTATAAACATCGTCAACACATTAACAGAACACCTAACATTTATTTATCTATTAAAGGGAGGACCCCTTTTTGCAGTTAAATTTTAAATATAAATATATAAACATCCTAAACTAACTATGTTTAACAATCAAAAATATAAATAGCAGCAACATAAAAATAACTTATATCATATAAGTGAATACACTGTGACTGATTAAACAACACACATACCCGAAAGTAAAAACACACCTTATGAGAAAATGAGAAGGGATCTTTTAGGGTTGTAGGTCAAGTTATCATTTACACTTTGAATACTTGATACCTTTGCAAGACTTATAGACAGCTGTGATCAGAATCATAAGGGTTACCAATATTTAGAACAGGAGAAAAATAAGATGCAAAAAGGTTAGCTATTCTATATCCAGTAATATAAGCTTTATAACACTCCCAAGTCAAGTTTTTTACATTGAGATCGTAAACTAGAAAAAAAAAGTAGTCGTTGGGAATGAGAATTTTTGAAGGTCATATAAGCCTTCTTTTTTCTAATATGACACATTAGAGACAGGAAGGATACCATCGAGAAAAGCTAGAAGAAACAAACTTTTTAATAGAAACAAAATTTGCAATACCATTATTCAATACCTGATAAAAAAATTTATGATAGTTTCAATATTATTCTTTACAATAGTTAAAGCCCAATTGACAAGCCCACAATAATCATTAAGATTACTATAATCAAAATTTTCAATGTCCAAGTATAATTCAATGGATGACCAGTTAAAAGTAGTACCTAAACAAATATCACATTCAGTTGCAGTGTGATGAAAATTATTCTCCAATATTAAATCAAAGGTTTGAACTATAGTTACTAACCGAGGATGATTACAAAATAAAAATCTAAGAAATATGTTATGAGAGTTATGTATGGGGTAAACTTATTTTAAATCTAAAAAAGACAAATATTCATTTATAGCAGGCTAACCCACAGGGAAGTGTGCTGATAAACCATCTTGATGAGATAAATTCCACAAACTCAAAGTATAATTCGTATAAGTCTATTCTATATATAATATTCTATAATAAGTCTAGAACACTGTATTAATTTGTAGCATTTTAAATTTGATTGATTCTTTGAAGTATATTTAAAGTCGCCTCGTATATGAAATCGTCTTAATAAAACGAAGAATGTTTTCTGTTTTTAGTTCGTATCTTTCGAAAAGTGTTTTCAATCATTCTAACGTCGTAGAGTAATAAATCCATTTAATTGTTGTTTATTTTACTGCGGCGATTTCTTTTCATGTAAATGCGTTTCAAAGGATATCTACGTCGTTCGTTGGTTTTGCTATTTCAGTAGTTTTATTGGAGTCCGAATTTTTCTTCAAATTCGTAATGTTTTTTCGTTTTTTTTTTGTCATTGGTCATGGGAAAATGTGTAGTGTGGTAGCAGTTAAGAGCTCGGCTTGTAATCTTCAGAAAGCCGACAGATCCTGTTTATGGAAAGTTATATGTGTTGTATTATGTCCTAAATGGAAGATTTGTAAGGTGTTACAACGATATAAGAGGCCATCGTATTTTCAATGAAGTTTTGAAAAGCCAAGCTTAGAAGTTTGCAATTTTTTTTTTTACCCGAAGCCCGATGATCCAGCCGAACTTCAACTTCCTTCGTCTATTTGTTTGTCCCTGGTCATTCCAGACCATTCTGAAGCTTGGAGACGCTTGTGTTATTTTGCAGTGTTTAGAAAACCAGTTCCAGCCCCAAAACTAATATTTGGTGAAGTCAGGTACTTTTTTTGTTAATTTTTTTTTTAAAGAAAAATAGACATTTATCATTAATAATTGCTTTCATGACAAGTTGAAAAATTTGTAATAAGTAAAATTATAATAATTAGGATTTGGCTGTCATAATAATTATTCTTATACACATAACTAACCATAAGTTTTGAATTTGTTTTGTTTTTTTTTAAGTTGACCTTAATCTAAACTGCATTGAAAGATCTATATGATTTCAATTTTGTTTTTTGTAATTATCATTTGTTTTGTAACTGTTTGTGGTACACATAATTAAAGGTAAAATTTTGTTGTCTTAACTTTTTGTTTATTTTTTTTTGAGTAACCCTTTTGAGTTTATTTGAAAAAGATATGTTTTTTATGTTTTG